GGGGTATGTGTGTATTTGGTGGGTGCTTGTGATGGAGAGGAGAGGAGAGGAGAGAGAGGAAGAGGTGCGGGTGGAGCGGCAGAGGTGAGCGCTGGGCGGCGTGGGCAGCGGCGGCAGCGCCAGCCGCGGAGACTAGGCACGCCCTCCCGCCCGCAGCCAGCAGCGAGCGTGCGCACCGCGGCCTCACCCGCAAAGGACACCTCCCCAAACACGCGGTACATGTAGAGGAAAGGGATGGCGGAGAAGACAAAGACAAAGGAGACGAGGGCGGAGGCGCCGCTGGCGTCTGCAGCGGGGGCGGGCAGCGGTGAGGTGGCGGCGGCAGGCGGGCAGCGGCAGGTGGCCTGTCAAGCGGTGGAACCGGCGTGTCCAGGCAAGGAGGGCGCCTGGGGCAGCAGCCCGCGGCTCTGGCTGCGTTCAAGCATGGCAGCAGGGGCGTGCCCAGCAGGACTGCTGGCGCCAGCACTGGCAGACCGCACCCACAGCCACACCGGGTGAGCTCACCTGACAGCCAGCCGGCGATAGTGCCCCCCAGCACGCCCCCCACATCAAACAGGATGGACAGGTTGCCCGCCTCCTGCAGGGCGAGAGGGCACGTATGTGTGTGTGTGTGTGTGTGTGTGAGAGAGAGAGAGAGAGAGAGAGTGAAGGGAGGGAGTGCGTTAATCTGCACATGCTGGCGGCGGCGCAAGTGCCTCGACAAGCAGCGAGACGCTTGCGCCGAGGGCTCGACCCTCCTCCTCCACATGCGCCGCCACCTCCGCCGCCACAGCTCACAGACACATGCGCCCACAGCAGTGGGTGGAGGCCCGTGCTCACCGAGGGTGTGAGGGCCCTGCCGCCGACCGCGGTGGTGGAGATGTAGTAGGGCAGCCAGTAGAGGAAGGTGTAGGCGACCAGCTTGGCGAAGAACAGGGTCATCGCAAACACTGCACGGCAACGGGGGTGGTATGTGTGTGTGTGTGTGTGTGTGTGTGGTGGTGGTGGTAGGTGGGTGGGGGAGAAAGCGGAGGATCGGAGCGAGGGGAGCGGGTGGAGAAGAGCAGAGCAGGGCAGGAAGCCGGAGGACGCAAATCCAAGGGCAGGGGTGGAGAGTGAGAGCAGAGCGGAAGGCAGGCAGGCGCCGCTGGTGTCCCGTATAGCAGGCCCCAGCGGTAGCAGGCGGCTGGGGGCAGGCGGCCCGCGCACCCGCCACTCCAGGGATCAGCCAGGCAGCCACAAACGAGACGCCCGCCTGCAGACAGGCAGAACACAGGCGGGGTGCGGCACGCGCGCGTCAGCCTGGCACGCCCTCTCTCGCCACGCTCCTGGTGCTGAGCAGGCAGGCAGGCACGCTGCACGCCGCCGGCGTCGGCTCGCGGTCGCCTTCTTGCCCCTCTCCGCATACCCCCAGCCACATACCGGCCACCCAGCCGCGCCAAAGTACACACGCCCACTCGTGCCTTCTGACACAGCAGCAGATGCCAAGCTGCTGCCACTGGCTGCCCGGTCCTGCTGACACAGGGGGCTACAGCGGTGCCCAGGCAGAGGCGCAGCCAACCTCTTGCTGCCGCGCCGGCCCACCTTGTCGCGCGTGGACATGAACGTGCGGTCCGAGCGCGGTGAGCCTCCCAGCAGGAGGTCTGCCTCGCTGCCCTCCACGCTGTCCCGCCGCTTGTTGTGCATGACCAGGGTGGACCCCATGCCCCACACGCCGTGCTTGCCGTGCCCGCCGTGGATGGTGTGGTGCTCGGCTGCGGCGGGGAGGGGGCACGGGAGGGGAGGGAGGGGAGGGGGCACGGGAGTGTGTGACGCGGGAGAGTGAAAGCGCACGTGTGTGCGGATGTTTGCAGACGGGCAGGCGAGGCCAGGGCACCGCCGCAGGCCAGGACACAGGAAAACACCACAGCGCAGAAAACAAGCCCGCAGGCTCACCCATCTGCGCCTGGACGTGGGCGGGCACCAGGCCGCCCCTGCCGCGCGCGATGTTCGCCAGGTGTCGCTCCAGGTAGGCGCGAGCCTCGGCGCTCATCGCGCTCACGTCGCTCGCCTCGCTGCGCGGCGTCAGCGGCTCGGAGCCGGCCTGGGGGGCGAGGGCAAGAGGCGGCGGGGTAACAGGTAAAGGTAAAGGCAGGGAGGCTGGCAGGTGGGGCGGCAGCCCAGTATAGCACAAAAGACATGCATGTAGAACGTATCACCGACCCCCGGCCCTCCGCCCAGCCCAGCCCTGCACCCCACCCTCACCCCATCCCCACCCGGCGCGCACCTCTGAGCCGATCACCGACCCCGACTGCGGCAGGAAGCCGATGTCCTGAGGCTCCACCACCAGGAAGGAGAAGACGACCAGGCCTGCAGGGAGGGCGGGAGCAGGAGGAGCAGGAGGAGCGCAGCATACATACAGGCTGGGTGGGCGGGCGGGCGGGGGTCTGGAATCGTCCAGAACTGCGCCCGCGCCAGGCAATGAGCGTCGGTGCAGCGCGCCGGCACACGGCTAGTGGGTCGTGGAGTGTGCCCTACCACCTCCTCACGCTCTCTCTCACACACACACGACCACCACCATCCCTCCAAACACACCTCACCCCACCACCACCACCACCACCACCACCAGCCAGGCACCGGAGCAGCACCAGCACCGCCCCCCCCCCCGCCTCACCGCAGCCGGCGATGAAGGCCCCCGGCAGCACGAAGGACCAGCCCCAGCCGTACTTGAGCATGTAGGCGGCAATCAGGCTGCCCACGATGTTGCCTGCGGGGGAAGGAGGGGCGCCAGCGGCGGACGGGTTGGCGGCACGCGGCGGCGGAGTAGAGCCCATGGGGAGCAGACGGGGGCTCACGTGCATGCGCAGGAGGGCAGGCACACACAGCAGCACAAACACAGCATGGCAGGCGCACACAGCAGCACAAACACGGCAAATACAGGAGAACAGGCACCCACCCACCCACATCCACGCAACACAAACCACGCCGCCCACGCTCGCTCACCGGCAGAGGTGTGCGCGTTCCACACGCCCATGATGAGCCCGCGCTTGCCCTTTCCAAACCAGTTGGCCATCACGCTGACCACGCTGGGCCAGCCCGTGGCCTGCAGCAGGCCTGCCGCGCAGAACACAGGCGGAGGGCGCAAGGGGGAGCGGGTGAAGGCGGGGGGCCGGGAGGGAAGCGCTGCAGCGGCGGGTGGGCGCAGCGCAGGTCCAAAAGAGGGGCGGGCAGGGAATGGCGCAGCCTAGGCACGGAGGCGCGCCGCCACACCGCAACCGGACGCAGCCGGCAGGCCCGCTGCACCATTCAGCCCCTGCATCTCCAGCCTCCCGCCGATTCCAGCCTCCCGCCACCTCCCTGCAACGCCAATCTCCCCGCCCGCCTCCCGCCTCACCTCCCGCCACCTGCACCGCTATGAAGTAGGGCATGGAGTGGATGTTCCAGAAGTAGGCGGCGCCAAAACAGCGCCACGCACGCGCCGCTGCCCAGCATGCCGCCAGTCAGGAAGTGACGCAGGTCCACCCGGTCGCCCAGGTGCCCGCTCACAAACATGCCGACTGCGGTGTGTGTGGGAGGGGAGGGGAGGGGCGAGCTTGTTGTTGGTTGTTTGTTGCTTGTGGGAGGGGAGGGGCGAGGAGGGGCGGGGGCAGCCAGGCAGGGGGCGTGAGGGGGACACGGGAGCGGGGCGTGCACGGGCGGCACGGGCGGTGGCTGCAAGGGCGCTGTTGCAAGGGCGCTGTTGCAGCTGCGGCGCCCCACTCGCAGGCGCCTGCCACACACCCAGCCCGCCAGGAACGTGCGGGCCACACGCACACAGGCTGGCCCACGGCTGGCCCATGGCCTGGAAGCCTCCACCGCCTCTGCAGCAGCCCTCCCCACGCCCCCGCAGCCTCCTGCCGCGTGCCCCGGGCCTGCCTGCCCCTGCAGCCGGGCCTCTGCTCACATGCGTACGCCCCCAGGAAGGCCAGATCCAACTGCCCCAGCAGCGCCTTGCCGTCGCGCTGGTGGTTGAAGGGCGCCCAGCCGCCGCCCACGGCGCCGCCCTTGGACCAGCCGCCCTCCAGGTCCACCTCTGCTTCTGGCAGGGAGGCAAGGAGGCAGGGTGGGCGGTAAGCGGGGAGGCAGGGAGGCAGGGCACAAGCAGGGGTGGATGAGCAGGGCAAGAGCCAGGAGCCCCCTCCCCGCTCCGCTGCCCGCCCGGCCCGGCCCGGCACACCATGGCTAGGCGCGGCGCGGCGTGCAGCCGGCCGGCAAGCCGCAGCAGCCGCCGCAGCAGCAGCAAGCGCCCGCCCTGCCGGCCGCCCCGCCCCGAACCCGCGCCGCCAGGCGCACCGTTGGAGGCGTCGCCGTGCAGCACGCTCTTCACGATGGAT